CCCCAAAACCCCAAAACCCCAAAACCCCAAAACCCCTACTTATTAGTGGACAATTGAAATTAAAACTAATGGAGACGGCAAAACACGATTACGAGCAGTTCGATAACTATGATGATGTGGGTATCCATCACTACTTAAATGACAACACTCCTATTTTGAACGGAGTTGTCAAGCACAGATACTCAGACTTTGTGGTCAATGAGATCGACCCTGAAGGCACCATCGCAACTATTTCAAGAGAAACAGACGTGGTGAAGGAAATAGAGATTTTAGAGAAATCTAAAGAGGAAAATAAGAAAGAAGAGGGTGACCCAAGTGAACAAGGTCCCAAAAAGATTCAAGTCACTGAAGAAGCAAAAGCTGTCATTTCTGAAGTTCTCCCAGAAGAAGGTGACCGCCTTCTTGAGCATATAAGAAAGATTAATGAAGGACTCTGTGAAAGGACAGAAGAGCTTGCTCTAGGTAAAGGGTATTTACTTATAGTATAGACCATATTGAAGATAAAGAGAGGAGGACCAAGGTTCATCACCTGTTCAGAAACCATATCTCAGACTTTGATACATACACAAAGCAGATAGATGGAGAGAAGAAGATTATGGTGCTCTTAAAGTCAAGCATCTCTAAGAATAAAAGAAAGAAACTTAAGATGCAAAGTGATAAAGAGGAATTCCCTCATATCAAAGTAGTGATGTACAAAGAGAGTATTGAAAGCATGCAAGCAATCTTCAATTTCTCAAAACTAGTCAAGAAACAAGCTAAATACTTTGGAATTGCGGGAAATAAGGATAAGAGAGGGATTACGTTCCAAAATGTCACCATTAGTTTTGGAAAGTAAGTTGCTATTTTAAATTTAGTCTGGGAAATATTAAGAGAGCACAAACCAACCCGCAGTGGATCAGAAAGATCAAGATAGGAAACATCCAGAAAGTGAAGAAACTGATCAAACTTGGTGATTTATCAGGAAATAGATTCTCTCTTGCAATCAGGTTCATTGAAGGTAACTTATTTGGGCTATAATCTAGGCGTCACTGATGAGGAAATTAAGCAAAATGTTGAAAATATTTCAACAAATGGATTCCTCAACTACTTTGGAATGCAAAGATTCGGATGTTTCAACATCATGACTCATACCATTGGAAAGGAAGCTATAAAGCAAAATTGGAAAGAAGTCATCAGTAAGATATCTTTTTGATAAAAATAGGAATGATGCTATCTCAGTATCCTAGAAGTGGAGTTGGTAAAGACAGGAAAGAAAGCATAGCTAGGCTTGCACTTGAAGATGAAGATCTTGATGAAGCTCTGAAGCTTGTTCAGCCAAGAGATAGACTTGAGAAGGTTATCATTCTAACTCTAAAGAAGCATAAGAATGGATTCAGGAATGCTTTTGATTCGATAGCTAGGAATACCAGAATCATCTACATCCATGCTTACCAAAGTTATATTTGGAATAAAGTGACTAGCACGAGATTTGAAAAGTTTGGGACCCAAGTCTTAGTGGGAGACCTAGTATCCTCAACGTTTGATAACACTGAAGAGATCTATGAGGACAACGATAAGGATAAAGATTACAACAAAAATATAAAATTTGTGACTGAAGAAAACATCAAAGATTTCACTATTTTTGATGTAGTCATGCCAATGATTGGAAAGAGTATTCAGTTGCCAGAAAATGAAGATCTTAAGAAACTTTACCTTGAGTATATGGAGGAAGATGGCATTACAATTGAAATGTTCAAGAGTAAATCGATGGAAGGAGGATGTTCTCATGGAGCCTATAGACACATCAGTAAGCTATTTTATCTGAATTATGCTAATATTTTAGTATCTAAAGCCAAGGATATCGAGTATGATACAGTAGAGTTTGCAGATAAGGATCAAGATTTGCTAAATCCTTTCTACATCACAGATGGGAAGGAACTTGAGGTCCCAGCTCCAGTAGAAGATGAAGAGAAATTCAGAGCTTTAAGAATAAAATTCAGCCTTCCGCCATCATCCTACGCAACTATATTTGTTAGGGAGTTGACACACCAATAAGATTTTTCAATTTTATTTCAATTGGAATTCTGATAGAAGGGGTTTTGGGGTTTTGGGGTTTTGGGGTTTTGGGG